ACATAATAATATTACGTAATTCGCATCGGATTACGCTGTTTGTGTTGACACCTATTTGCTTCTGGGCACTGCAGTATCTATAAGATATCCCTGTTCCCTGAAGGTGAAATATCGTGACAACACATCTTTGACCTAATCAAATTACTAATATATCATTACAACTGGACACAATGACACATACAGGGTGAATCATGGACGACTGGTAAACTTATTCAAAACAACATATTTCGAAGGACACCACGAAAAACACAGACATATATTTGTTGATATATCAAAAACGAGTGCAATTGTAGTTATGATACACAACAAAAACTATCAATTTACACTAAAAAATAGGAGAAAATTTGCATATTTAGGTATTCAGACTGTCGACCAACAGTGCAAGTGTTACTTAGTAACAGTTTCTGGTCATGTGATGGTCAGTAAACAGATGACAATCACTGTGCATTTGTGATAAATCACGCTCAACAACTTTCGCTGAATCAAAACAATTTTGGCATAATAGCCACTATCCACTAAAATACAATATATCTACATTTTGTAACTTATACCAGGCATGATCATTGATATTCGATGAAATATTTTTTGCAACTTTATAGACCTTTTATAACTGGCTTTGCAATTCCCACCACCAATCAGATGTGTTTCAGTATTCAATCCGAAATCATTTAAATAATTTTTTACTTTGGATGCATGAAAATTTATTAATTTTAATGAGTGTACTATAATTTTAATTTATGCATGTACAATCAGATATAAGTTAAAGAATCTATTAAAATTTAACAAAAGTAAACTTGATATTCCATTGCCATAATGATGCATTTTCCTATCCCTGTAACTTCATGCATGAATCCTAATAAATGAGATTTATAGTTTACAGCTGGCACATTTTCAATAATAGAAAGCTAAAAGCTATTTTAAATATTGCTATCAATGGTACTACAGGTAGACCTCTCTCAGATTTGTTCATTTCATGATATCTTCAATTCTCTAATTTAGATGAATATTTTTGTCATTTTTGGTAAAAAGTGATATTTTCGACTTCCTGTTGCAAACCACTAGGCCAATTACTTGTATACTATACACATAGACACCTCAGGTGGACCTCTCTCAAATTTGTTCATTTTGTGATGATATTTTCAATTCTCTAATTGAAATGTGCATTGCTTAAACAGAAATTTAACAATTTAAGTATAAAAAAAAATAAAAGCAAATTTGGTAATTTTTATTTAACTGGGAGAAGTTTGTGAAATGGAAAAAAAGCATTTGAGAGTAAGGGTTTGAAGGTAAATCTGGGAAAGACAAAAGTGATGGTGAGTGGGACGGAGGAGAAAGCTTTGGTGAGTAAGGTTGACCCATGTGGCATGTGTGGAAAGAGGGTAAAGGTAAATTCAGTGCGGTGTGTGAAATGTGGGAAGTGGATACATGAGAGATGTGCAAAGATGAAGAGGGTGTCCCAAAGATTGGCAAGGGATTTTGCGTGTGGAAGATGTAAGAATGGAATTGGAAGGGTGGTGGAACAGGAAGAAAAGTTGTGTGATGAGGTTGAGTCAGT